ATCGAAACCCACCAATGACTGATGACAAACTTTGCACGAGTCTTTCAGCCAATACCATCATGGCTATACTGACCAATTACGTTCAACAGACCAGACTTATAACATCATCGACTGACAAACACCATTCACTTGACTCTGAAGATGACTTCCGCTCAGGTTTTCGAACGTCAGTCACCAACAACAGTTCTTTTCAGAACTACACTCACCCGGACGATCACACTATACGAACTGCTGATACTCCTGGGTTCAAACCATTCACTATAAAACCTTTAAGTAAACAGCCCTGCAACTTTTTTTTTTCTGGTTGACTTTTTTGGGCTCCAGATGACACGGATAGTGTATGAATTTTTACCCCTAATGCTTGTTCCAAATTTTTTCAACCCTACCACTTTAAAATGGTTTCAGACGATACGACAGTTGAAATAGTTGTTGTATGTGAAAGGATGTGAAAGCCAGAGAGCCTGATAATGGCGATTTGTTTCGGAGTAGGACTGGCTCTAGAAACTCCAACCATGACTGTTACACCACGTATCTACTGAGACAAGATGGTGGACGAGTATGGTACAGAAAAATCGAAAACTCGATTATTTTCATGGGTTAGTCTGCAGTATGAATAAGTTATAATGTAACAACATGCCTAAATAAACTGATTGTGCTGCTTTTCTTTCTAGGGAGCAAATAGCTACGGACAACTGTGTTTTGGTCATGAGAAGGATGTGTTGTCTCCTGAAAATATCGATGCTGGTTGTCTTCCAGAAAACATAGCAGTTGCAATGATACAAGGTGGTGGAGGGCACACAGCGGTGATAACAGGTGTTATATTTCACAGCTTAGCTCAGTTCAGATTTGCGGTCTGTGCTTAATTTATTTAGAAAAACCTGACTCACATAAACAACAGTAGGCTAAATGTTGTATGCAGCATATTGCTCCACCAAACCCAGTGACATGGTTCTTTTCTGTTTCTTTTTTTTTTTTCAGAAAGTCAAGAGCTTTTTATGTGTGGTTGGAATAACAAAGGGCAGCTTGGTTTGGGTGATACACAAGACAGGCCTGTTCTGTGTCATGTTCAGGGTCTCAGTTCTGTCAGACAAGTGTCATGTGGATGGAATCACACTTTGGTGATTGCTGGTAATACTCAGTGTCAAAGGTGTTGTGTAGTTTAACTCCCCACAAGTTTAGAAATTTATCCCCACACAGGTTTATAAAATATTGTGATTTGCGAGGTTTTGTATCTTTTAGTAAAAGCTATTCTTTTTCAGGGTGTGAAGAATAGATTTGATGTGTTAGACTATATGAAATTGTTTGTTTGACATGTTGTGTATGAATTGAAAAAAAAAAAAAGAAATGTTTTGCAACATATTTTTCTTGGGTTTTGTTGAGGGGACTTACAAAGTATGCAAGCGTGATTGTCACACCTCAGATCTCTTCATGGACCAAGTGATAACAGATTTATTAGCTGTATGAGCTTTGGGTAAACATATTAATGTTTGATTGTGATTATGTTCCTTAGATGTCGGTTTTTATGTTTGGGGCTCTAATGCATTTGGACAGTTGGGTATAGGAACACTTGGTGGTCAGTTGACAAGTCCTGTGCTATGTCAGGTACTTTCTACTGTGATATAGTTTGCCATATATAGTAACTTAGCGACAGAGTTCCCGGTGTCGTGGTCTGGACTTGCCTTAAAGGTTGGTGCTTTACATAGGGTTAACCTCATTGCGCCTTTCCCCCATGAACAGACTCGCTAAAGAAATGTCTCATCGGTAGGCCATGTTCACAGGTAAATGTTTTTTCGTTGGAACCTTCTTCCTGCTTATAGAACATACATGCACAGTTATCTAGTAGTAGAGGTTAATACTACACTCAGTGAGTGCCTTTCCTGTATTACTCTGGGGAGTCTACCCTGGAAAAGATGTTATACAGGTCCTTAATGATTTTTGAAATTCTGCATTAGGATATTTTATGAACCTTGGTGAAATGTTTTAGGATCTTCATAGAGGTCATCAGAGATTTTGCAGGATCTTGCAAAGATTGTTCATTTTCTTCCAAGTCTCTGCAAAGATTCTTGAGATTCCAATAAGATCCTGAAAGTTCCTGCACAATCCTCAAGGTTCCTGTAAAGATCTTGGATGATCTTTTCTAGTATCTCTAGAAGGATGTTTTTGTCGTCTCTCATGTAGGATCTTGAGGTTCATAAAGGATTTGTGCAGGATCTTTGAGGTTCCTATATAGATTCTATGACTATTAAGAATACTAAGGGATCCTTCAAGATCCTACAGGAAATTAAAGGATCCTTAGAGGTTGATCACCAGGGTATAATTTATCAAGATCTATTTTTCTTGCCTCTCTCAGCCTTATCCATCCAAATGATGCTTATTATCTCTGGCTTTTAATACATTTAGCACTTTCTATCAAAAGTTATAAGGTATGAAGATAGTGTTTGCTTCATGTATCTTTAGTAGAATCTCCCAAATGAACAAGTTCTCAGCATTGCAGCAGGACTCAGACATTCACTGGTTGCTTTAGGTGAGTGGTAATGGAGAATGACACATTCTATGAGTTGTTTTACAGGTCCACAGGTACTGGTAGTATATTGTGTGTGAAGTGTTCACAGTTGCCATTCTTGGTAAAGTTCTGTTCTCCTAGGATACCTCAAGATGATTATGTTGTATTCATCAAACAGCTACTACTAACTAGTTATTAACTCAGATAAAACTGATTATGAACCATGTCGTTAGTTGCTTTGTACAATTAACTTATGTTGCTAACCAAATATGGCTAATTTTCCTCTTCATATAAGCTGATGGATCTGTCTGGTCTTGGGGAGCTAATAAAAAGGGCCAGCTTGGTGTAGGAAAAACGGGATCCAATTGTTCTACTCCTCAACAAGGTAAGGCGAAAGATATTTTACTCTAAGTAGCACTATAACTGAACCTGGCTGGGCATGGTTTACCATGGCGGCGTCATAACTACACTGAATCCACTGCATTACTCAAATAAGATCTTGCTTATCGGTTTAACACCACTCAATCAAAGTGATATTAACTGCAGTTCCAGTGTCAAGCTGTGACTTGAGTCTTACTACTGCTCCTCGCGACAGGATACTAGTCTATGACAAGTTGTCATTAAAATTGTTTACTTATAATGTTATTTGTTGAGGTTCAATATTACCCTTGGAACAATTTGGAATTTTTCTTTATTTCATATACATTTAATTTATTACCATACGCCAACACAAAGAAAAATACCAATGTAAGGGTACAAATGAAACACAACACATACACCATGTTGTCCAAAAGCACCACACAAAGACAGTTCATAACACCCATTTTATGCTACACTAGGCTGTATGTGTTCATTGGGTCTGGTATCTGAATCCGAAGGATTGTCTATGTTGTTACAGATGAATGAAATACAGACAGAGCCTGTATTGCTTCTGGCCCAAGGCAAGGAAGAATGCTCCTTGGCTATCATTCGTTAATGTAAAATTTGGTCAATCCAAAATACTGAATGATCACATCACTTGTGAAGACTGCAGTTGAATTGTGATAAGTATGTTCTTGTGCTCAGTTTTGTTCCCAGATGGTTTACAACAGACAAGTATAGAGGTAGTGGCAGGATCACACCATTCGGCTGCATTAACAGGTAAGTTCAGTTTTAAGGCTCTTTTCATTTGTAACATATCATCACCAGTTCTTCTTCAGTTCCTTGCCCCCAAGTGGGGGATCGGGCCAGGGACTTTACCGGTTAGATCAGGAGCTATTTACCAAGAAAGGCCCAGTCACACTTAATGGCAGTAATTTGTTATAGCTCAGATAAAATTGGTTCCTGGCCACTTTAAACCTTGTTCTGGCCATGTAGATAGGTCATCCAAGCAGGGACCAAAATTGAGGTAGAACAAAAATCCTGCATAGGGCCATTTGCATAAGAGCAGTGGTGAAGCCATTGGGAACTAGTCAGCAACTATTTATTGCTGTGAAAAGAAACACTTCTACCCAGTAACATATGTTCAGCAGATGAAATGGTTGTGCGCAGTAGCAGTAATAGTTATTTTGAACTTAATTTGTAGGTTAATTGAGTGTTGATTAAGATGAAGCACTGTGTTGGGTGGATGAGTAAGAAATTAACCCAGCAACATTTTGTTTAGCTTCAGGGCAGGTGTACTGCTGGGGCTCCAATCAACATGGACAGTGTGGAAGGCCTCCAGATGAACTAACAAAAGACCACAGTCAACAAGTATTAACAACACCACAGCTGATAGGAGGATTATTATCTAATGTTCGTGTCACCCAACTCAAGACAGGCTGGAGTCACCTACTAGCCATCACAGGTAAGAGGGTAGTAAGGAGAGCCAGTGGCAGATGTCATCATGTTTCACACACTACCTTTAACAAAGTCCATGTGTCACATATTGTATACTTTAAGCTACTTGTAATAATGGTAGGTTTTTTGGAAAATTTGTGAATCACCTAGTATTAATATCTTTTAGTTGGGTTTCATTCATCACACACTAATTTATTCCCTCATCACATGTTACACAAACCCTTTACCTCCCTTAGGGAATATCATTTCTCTGTCTGCTGTCTCATACAACAGTGAGTCACCGAGTCATAACTGTTTTGTGATGTGTTTGTCTTTACAGAGGATGCTCACGTTTTTTCATGGGGCCGTGCAGACTATGGTCAGTTGGGTGTGGGTGATGACGCGGTGCAGCAAGGGTTTTGTAGAGAACCAACAGAGATCACACACGTTAGAGATGCTAAACAGGTATTTAAATGACTTATAGGAAAACAACCATAACACTAATAATATTATAAAAACATTATTATGCAGTTTGGATTCCCCAGATGCCCTGACTGGCAAGAAAACTATGAAACCATGTTTCATTGTTATATGTCATGGATATAAAGAAGCCAAGTCATGCTATATTGTCAGAAAAACAGCTTGGTCAATTGAGATCATTTAGGAAAAGTAGATATCACAAATAACTGATTGTATTAATTAAATTGTTGTTCTCAAATTTCTGTCATGTTTTATGAGTATAATATCTAGCTTTTAATTGGCTTCTTTAATTAAATCAAGCAGTACAATTCACATGGTGATGAGACATCTACATTTGCATGTGAATCATGAACAAGAATTCGATAGGAATAACACAACCATAACAAGATCTGTTAGATCTTATAACCATGCTTTTAAAATTTAACTGTCTTCTTAGCACTACAGTCGCAACTCAGTGCACATTCCAAAGCAGTCTTTGATGATTCATTGATTACTGTAGACACCATATCACTTGATCAACACAAACTGTATTATTGCACCATTGCTCTTAGCCTTTGTGAAATCTAAAATCTAAAATCATCTGATCAATATGTAACACAACAGACAACAACGACAACACTGTTTAACTGTTTAAGCCTGTTATCGCACCATCACTTGTAGCTATTGTGAAATCTCCGATTGCACCATCAGTCATAGCCATTGTGAAATCTCTGATGATGTAATGGTCTTAATCTGGAACTTTCTTCGGAATATGTATGGGCATGAATGATGCGATAATAACACTATTAACAACAGCTTTCTTTCTTAAAAGTCACGACTAAATTAAATTTAAATTCAATTAATTTTTTCCATGAGTAGTCACACAAGTCATGTACTTCATGAAATGTTATCCACAGCTATCTCTAGTATGGTGGTTATTTCACTACCAATGACGTAATCCTTGCATGTTCTGACACGTTCTTTGGTTGGCTTGCAAATATTTAATTTTCCTTCCGATCTCTGAACTCGCTTCAATAAACTGCACAACAATTCACTTCTCTAGTCTAAAAATACAAAAAAGACTGTCACTCCTGGCCGAATAGACTTGCAAATTAAACACGATTTTATTTGTCACGAAGCGAAAGTGAAAGATGCAACATCAACGCATTCCAAGGCTGACGTAATACCTTTTTTAGCATATTTATTATTCCCTTCGAATCCAACACTTTGATAAAACCAAAAGAAAATATTTTTTACGCACAATAAAGAAAACAAATCCATAACGTTGTCTGTGTATTAATGTTTCAACAGCTTTTGGCGAATAAACATAATAGGTTGGGCGATTCAAGATTTGGCTGAGAGGAAGTTTGGGTGTGGTCACCAACAAAACTGAAAAAAAAATAAACACCATCTAACCCAAGAACCATGCTCGGCCCATGGCCGTGTGGTTAATAATTATAGATAATGTTCTGTCTGTTTGCAGGGAGGAGTTTGAGGTTGGAATGGAGTTGTAAAGACAGACACATGTTGACAGACAGACAAACTGGGTTTCATGCATCTTTTAGTTAGCCTTTGTTTTCCTTTTAGGTTGTTTGTGGTGCTGAACACAACATGGCTCTGTTGGGTAAGTTACAAGGAAACTAACCTTTTGTACGAAAGGAGCTCCAACACAAATGGAGTTTTGTCCTTTGTTTTGTCTTGGTAATATTTATTTTTAGGTTGTTTCACTTTTGGAGTTTTTGTACTTCAAAAATCTTTGTTTTGGTTTCTTACATTTTTAGAGTAATTTTATTGTTTAGTTGAAATTGTGCAACTTAAAATGCTGTGACATAATTCTTTACTTTTGTAATATCACATTTTCTGTTCAGGTTTTCTATGTTCTTGAAACATCACAATTAGTTATTTCATTACACCAAGCAGAGTTTGATCCTTGTCTTAGGTGTTAACATACTGCATTGTTATACTCGCAGATTCTGGTTTAGTCCTGACTTGGGGTTGGAATGAGCATGGAATTTGCGGGACTGGGCATGAAACAGTGAATGTGCACCAACCAGAAGCAGTTGCTCAACTTTGTGACTACCACATCTCTCTGATTGGATGTGGTGGTGGACACAGTTTTGCATTAGCCAAGAGATAACATTTCACAGAATGAGTCATGGACAGTACTTTATGGGCATGGCTTAGTACAATGTCTGTGGGAACAAAACAATGTGTCACGTACTTGTGTGTAGAAGAGTGAAAGCCAAAGCACGTATTATTTGAAAAGACATTATTTCTGCAGCAATGTGTCCTCTGGAACAAGGCCACAGAAGGTGGACTCTTCGTCCACTGAGGCATTGTCAAGGCCTGGTCACATTGTGCAACATTATGTCCAATATGTCGTACATTTTTACTTGTGCCCACCCCTGAAATTGTTTCACAGAGTATTTCAGAAGTGAAACAAGATTCTTCTCCTGCAATATTGACTACCACATGATGTAATAGGCCATTTTGCTAATTCAAATATTTCCTAGTTCCATTTCCTTGTGGGGGCAAGAACTGATCACTCTGACAAAAATGGCCTCATTAATTCATTAAACATATCAAATTTTGTCCCCACAAGGGACTAGAGCTAGCATTAGTAAAATGGTGTATTTAGCCATTTGCATTGTTCTAGAAAATATCCAACCCCTCCCTTGAAAGGTGTGTTATGTTTGACCTCCCCCTCCTCTCCTGCTGGAAATTCCAGTTATGGTACATACTTTGCTTTGAAAAAATTTGGCTTTTGAGACCCTCACCCCCCTTGAAATTTCCAATAGCCCTCCTTGGGGTGGGTATGGATATTTTCTGGAACCACACGTTGGGAGTAATATTGTATGCAATGTCGCACTGCATGTTGAGGTCTTCATTTTGAATGTTGTAACAAGAGATGTTGGTAAAGGTCAGGGATGGTGATGTAGAAAACCACTCTCAAGAAATAAAAGGAACGGTAAATGATATTTGGATTCAATGTTGAAAAAATACCAGCGAAGAGCCTTGTGAAACCTAACAACGAAATGTGCACATCCTTAATGTACATAATTTGTTTCTGAAGTAAAAAGGGTTTATCTGAATTTTGGTATCTCTCACTGAGTTAGAGTCTTTTGGTTATATTACAGAGGTGTTCATGGCTTTGATATACCACATTTAAGGCCAAAGAACCTGAACATCTTACCTTCCTGGTTGGGACACCGAAGTAGTTAAGATGGGGGATTATAACCAACCCCCACCCACTCACAACCCAGCAAGAGGTAGCAGTGCTTTTTCTGGTACATGTAGTAACAGTGCATTCCCTGACAAAACCAGGCTTGACATCCGGTGTTGTATTACTGTTATTGCCTTTTACAGAGTGAATTATTGAACCTCTATACCACTGCGCTACTACTTTGTTTTTTGATATCATCACCCAATTCCAGGCAATAAAAAGACACAAGCTTTTAAAACATGAAGTTTTAAATTTATTAAAAAGAAAATCTACTTAAAAAGTTCTAACTTTAATTTAGAGGCATAAAAATCTGACTCAAGCATCTCTCATTAGTCACTTACTAAAGTTCTAGAAGACAACATTGCTAAATGGCCACCAAATAATGCCTTCTCAAGCAAGAAGGGGCCATACACAGCTACATTGTTTACAAGCATCTCACAAGATGTAAAATGTAACTTTTGGAGACCAAGCAGATGGACTTGTTAGCTAGTTCAGACAACAGCCTCCTAATATGTTAGCATCTTTTTTAGCTATATCATTAACTCCTACTGTTCAGCGGTTCCTTTTAAACAAAGCCTCTCTAATTGATGTAAATCAACACAGATAGAGATGACAACTTTGTTTTCAAAAACCTTCCCTAATTCTAGTGAATAAAAAATGTTATGGCTTTATACTGACAAAATTGTTGTTTTACTGATACAATTTTAAATGTTATGAAATAAATCTACTTTGAAACTAATGTTATTTTTAAACACTGATAGCATAAAATCTGACAACAGCATTTTTTAATGCCTTGCCAAGGGGCCAGTTGACAGCTAATCTGTCTAAACATACATGTAATATGGTTTAGTGACTAAGCTAATGGGACTTGTCAGCATAGTTTTTACAACTTTCTTCTTTTTAACCAGTTGTAACCCCTGCTGCTCAGCGGTCCCTGGTAACTCTTGCTGCTCAGCGGTCCCTGTTGAAGAAAAGCTTTTCCAGTTGCAGTGTGGGATATTCAACACAGACAGAGACGATAAATGCCACACAGTAACTAATAGTGACAGCACCTACAAAGTAAAAGGCCTGTGGAACACAAATAACAAAACAAACAGGTTACTTCATTTTCAGGATTACAGTGGTTTGCTTAAATTTTTACCAAGAGCTGTTAATGGATAAAACAGTCCTGCATCCTATTATATCTCTCAGTTAGTATGTGCGCTGTGATTGGCCAATGTAGCAGGCCATATTCCACTGTAGGGCCCACTAAAATTTAAAGCTGTTTTTGTTGCCAAAATGTTTTGTGATTTGTTGGCAAGTGTTCTTAACTTCTTTAGCAAGTAAAAGTTTAAAACTTTCTTTTACCTCTGAAATTGTGTATCGAAACCTGCTAATGACTTAAGAGTCACTTAACAATGATTTCAAATTGACTTGTTTTGCATTCAGGGTACATCAGAAATTTGAAGCCACTCTGTGTGAATAGAAGTCATTCTCAAACCCGTTGACACAACAGAGGTGTAATAAATATCTTACTAACCTTGTTTTCTTGGTCTCTACTGTAAGTTACGGACTGAGTTTTTTCCCTTTCCATTTATGGCCCACATGCTTTGTGCTTGGGCTATAAATCGATGGGGAAAAAACTCGGTCTGTAACTTACAGTACAGCCCTCGCACTTGGTTAGTAAGAGGTAGAGTATATGGATATACACTAACAAACAGGGCAAACAAATTGGTTAACTAAACGATCAGAAGCAAAACCAAAACAACAAATGTTACTTGTAGAATGTGTGTTTTTCCTGCGTACTTGGCAGCTGAATGTATTGACATTGGATTCTGATATGTTTACACTGCTTAATTTGTGTTTGTTGAGATTGTCCTAATATGATCAGGGCTGACATTACGTTTTTGGTCACTTATAGCCTTTTTCTCCACACCCATAGCAAACGTGTTACTTTGTGGGTGGAATCTATCAACAACAGGCAATTTCATCAGAAGCATCAAGGGAAAATCAAGCATACTGAGCTGTAACAGGTTTTATCAGTTACAGCCCTTGATGACAGCCCAGACGATTATCAGTTGTTGTTTTCCTTACAATAGTCCTTAGGAATTTCTAACTCCAAAGCAAAAATCAATAAAAGAATGCTGAGTCAGGAATCTGGTTCCTCAGAAAGGAAACAAGGGACGCAATTTGAAAAAAAAAAAACTGAATTAACATAACCAGATGTAACAGTAACTACATCAAACAATGCAAGTTAAGGGAGGGACTGCTGTGGGTATTCATTTGCAAAAATTTGAAGGTCTTCTGTTTGTAAGTAGTTCAACTTACCAAGTGAAGGTCTGAGTAGGCCAAAACAGTTTGAAATGATCCAAAGAACACAAAAAGTACAATTGGATGTACCAGATAGGCTGTGTAGGTTAAGCGACTGAGAGGAATCCAGAAATGAGCAGATAATATCCTGTCTACCAAGCCTATCAGAATTAAAAAGAAGACAGTGTGTCAGGAGAGCCAGCGGCTGTAACCTTAACCTGAAAATACCATTTTTAAAGTGAGGTTACTGCAAAAAGGTGGATGTCATAATTATTAGACTTCAGTCCAAATGGACTGGCATAGAATTTTAGTAGCAATTTTGTGTTAGATGGATCACGGGTGAACAGCTTGTTTGTCAATTCCCTCAAATAACTGTTGATTTGTGATCTATTTACTCACAAAACTCAACCATTAAAGAGATTTCTACTTGTTTTCTTTCATGTACGACTTCCAAATGACAGTGTGTCTGAGATATTTTTAACCTGAGTCAAGAAACTTCTGACAAGTGGTACGATTGTATCAGGGGAACAATTACCAAAGGCATGTGGCTTTACTAATCCTTATAGCACAATCAAAATATATGGTACGACTCAACAGTACTCTGCCAACACAGGGACAAAAGCAAAAGGCTACATGAGATGATTTAACCCTCACCAGTCCCCAGATGCTCTTTGTATCACCTTATTACATACCTCCAAATCTACGATGACAGGCATAAACCAACCAAGCTAGAGCCAGTCCCCAGGCAAAGCGGCTGAATGTCCCGTACATGATGTTCTCAAACTTAGTAAAAGGCACATTTGGGATTTTTATAGACTTGTAAGGCCCATACACAACAGTAACTGCCAGGATGATAGCTACACACCAACCACCAAGCATCACAATCTAGGAGACGTAATGAAACCATATATGTTACTGTAAGTACTCAAAGTAACACTGAATCCTGTTGGTGAGGACTGCTGCAAAGAAATTATTCTACTTCTATGACTCAAACAGAGTCAGTCTAGTCTCTGTGGTGTGCACGAAGCACAACCTGAGTCATGAGAACAACCTTAGAAGAGAGAGGCCCGTAGACTGAAGTTAGTCATTCCATGACGTCATAAATTCACTACAAGATTTGTAGGAAAGACATTTTCAGCTCTTACTCCACATGCAAAGGGTTTGGCTAATTGCAAGCAAGGATTGTGAGAGTTCTTCTATTCTTATGATCAAAAATCCAGTTTCTATTTAACAACTAGATTCCATGTAGCTCAGTGCATCTGGTTACTAATAATTGTCGATCACAGATGATGTCAAAATGTGGAAAGAACAATTAAGTGGCACACAAGGCAATAGCTGTGAGTCGCTGATGTTCTTACCACATTTTGATGTCTTCTGTGATTAATTACTGAACAGACAGACAGCAATTGCACAACAACATGGAATCTATTTGTTTTATATAATAAAGAAACCAAACTGAATGTTAATGACACCACTTATGTGCCTGTCCTACAATTTTGATCAAGGTAAGAACCAATCAAAACACAAGAATCATTTCACAAATGATATAATATTCTATTACTGCTGTCTCAATATATTGAAGAAATAGCCTCTGGCAATTTGTTTTTCAGGTAAGATTGATCATTCACTGAACAATCATGCAACAGATTTTCAGTCTTTATATAACACAGTGTTCTTCATTGCACACCAGTTTTTAACACCACATACCCATTCTCATATTGATAAACATAACCCAGAGAGAAAAGATGGAGCACTGTAATGCAACATCAAAACAACCTTAAAACTGTAATTTTAAATATTTGAGACTTTATCACTGAAAAGCCCCAAAAAGCCTGAGAGAATAAAATTGTCTTATAGTTTCATCTGGCAGAAACAGAAAGCAAACAAAATGAAATCTATATGTACATAAATATTAAAACTTTAATTAATTGTTGCACTTTTTTGACACTCAAAATACTTGTAGCATTCACCAATCAACCTGTCTTGTTTCTTACCCACTTGGGTTTCTTTGTTGATTCCTTCTGTAGATGTAGCACATATCCTAAAGCCATTCCAACAAGGTAAGGGGAGATACGACAATAAGGCTTCACGTACACAAGGTTGGAAAAGTCTGGTGCATCTTTGGCACGAGCATTGCTACAAATGAAAACACCCATCACACATTAGCTTCACCTCCAGAATTATTAAAGCACACACTTTTAGCGGTATGAAACATTGTCTTTATATTACAGTCCTGATAATTCCAATTCCAATAATTATGAATGGACCAATTTCGATGTATTGAAATTCAGCCTAAAACAATAGACCTCAGCATGAGGCTCCAGGGAATAAATACAGAGTTTGTGAGGTTTATTCCCCAGAGCCTCGTGTTGAGGTCTATTGTTTTAGGCTGAATTTTGATACATTGAAATTGGTCTATTGCCTCCTAAGACAGTTGACACAAGAGACATTATACAAATCAAACATAATGAACAACAATGGATAGGACTGCGTGTGACTAGGGAAGAATAAAAAGATGACAATGGACAAAAATGAAATGTAGACACAAGAAACTCCTTTAAAAGACAGCTAGGTTTGATTACAGTAGATCTACAATATGTTACTGGGAACAAATGCTCAAATATTTATACTTACGGGTTTTCACCACCCCCGATCAATGATGCATTAAGATTGTAGTGACCAATAATGACAGCAGTGGTGATGAAGTGAGTGACAAGAAGAATTGATGTTGTTATTATGAAACCACGATTACCAAATCTATAATGAAACAACAAAACAAGACAGAAAAGTTTGACATGGTGTATTCACATAACAGTAAGCAATGGGTAGTGGGAAATGTACTGGCTGAGTCATAAGCTACAGTGCTCCAGATTAAGTGATCTTGTCGTGTTCTTGTGCAAGACACTTTAGTTTCCCATTGCCTCTCTCCACCCTAGTGTAATTGGTAGCTGCAAATTTAATTTAATGCTAAGGAGAATCCTACTATAGTTCATAGTAATCTACATGTATCAAAAGGAGAGCAGAATGTTCTCCTTGTCACACCATGTCATGGAAGGTGTTGTTAGCGTCAGCTGGTTTTCACTTGAGTCAACTATCCATATTGAATTAGAATTTGGAAATGTACATTTAGTTTATTAATAGTGATCTGCACACCTGTTATGAAAACCTAGTGTTAATAAAACTTGGCTGATCACCAATGTTATGGTGTTTGATTATCAACAGTAGTCAGTCATTATGCATCTAAAATGACTTGTAAGAAATACTGGTTATGCCAGGTGTGGTGACCTAATAATGTCTAGTGATTTCAACAGGTCCATATCAAGAGGTGAAGGCTCTAGCCCTGGCTAGCTAGACATGATTATAATGAGTGCAAGTCTTGTATTTCACCAAACTCATTGTTAGGTTAGTTATCATAAAACAACTTTCATTGTCATTTGCATGGTTTAAATTTATGATTTTACATGCTTGTCCCTAGTCCTCTGACGTTTAAAATAAGCTGTTGTATATATTTACCCTCTAGTTGCCAAAAGGATGATGGGACTGATGATATAAAACTGCATGTCGTTGGCAAGATACCAACTCCAATTCATACACTATAAATGAAAATAAAAGGTATAATTAGTCATTAAAATCATCACATCAGTGTCTTTTGTAACTAATCTGCAGAAAAAAAAAATCACCTACTGAAAACTTGACTATGCCAGCTTTGTTGTGTTTGCTTACATGAGGTATTGTTCAAGTTAGTTACGTGCGAGATGCATGTTGGTGGTAACATTGTCATTTCTTTTTTGTTCAGTATCACCTGTTTGATATTTTTCTACCTTGACAAAGTGTAATGCATTGGCAATGCTTGCAATGCATTTACTCAAGAGAAGCTGCTGAACATGTACAGCTGCCTTTCAGGCTAGTTTGATAATCAGAAACAATGCATATTGAGACAGAAAATGGTAAAATTAATTCTCAGGTGTTTTCTACTGGCAAAAGATCAAAACCTCTTTTCCCAAACCAGATGGCCAGAAATTGTTGATGTAGAGAAGATTTGACCACCAGTACTTGTCACATGCAGGGTTTGCCTGCTGTTGGAACCAAGCTGGTCCATCACCCAAGAAGCCAGTAAGCTTGTCGTAGAATAACAACACAAACATGTATGTTGGAGTCAACCTGGAAGAAATAAATCATTCAAGGACCTTAATGCAATCAGAAAAGATCAATTTTAAGTTTGTGTTCTAACCTTGCGTCTAAAAGACTTGTAAATTAAGTTAATACGGTAACAATGTCATAAATATAGAGTAGCAATGAAGTAATTTTGAAATAAAATGAATTGTCAAAATTTTCACGACCTCTAAACGCGAGCATCCGAATCACTTGTTGGATTTTTTTCTGTGGCTTAGTTTAAAAATTGGTGCCCATACCAATAAATTTATTTACTTTTACTCATTTCATATATTATCAAATAAGCCGTACAAAAAAATCCAGTAGCACATAAATTCCCCTTTGGAAACTAAAAAGATATATTATATATTAGTGGAGTAACAAGAATAGTACCTACCTCCAGAATCGATGAAAGTAAAACTGAAAAAGAGGCAACTGACCCTTTGATTTTTCCATTCGACGAAATGAAAGGTATGAGACCAGCAAACCACTGTAAAATAAATGATTAATAAACTGATTAGTAGATCGATATAAATGTAAAAAAATTACACTATTGCGTGCTATAAGGAATATGGAAGAATAAACTGATAATCACATTGTAATCACTGTGACTATGACTCCCTTTATTTCAAAATGTGTAAATTGTATTGACAAATTCAACTGCAGCAACCGGTACTTAAGAGCTATGCTCTGCTCCATACTGCTCAGTGAATCAGCAACAAGTAAACTTTTTTTAATGTCATCAGTAACATAAATGAATATCTTAAAGACCATATCCTTACATGCAGTGCAAGCTGCTGCAGAATCTTTTAATCAGTTCATAGTGACTTTATAGCCAGATATGAAGAGGCAGGCTACACCAAACCTCTAAAACAATTATGCAGCAACTTTTACTGCATGGTACTAATATTTAAACCACAAAATGTTTTGCCATAGAAAGGAAGTACATTCATGGAAGTGGAGATGAAAGAAACTATAGAAGACTTCTGTTCACCAGCAAGAAGTTCTACCAAGGAGCTATAGAAGACTTGTTGGATTTAAGTCACATTGACTAGGTTGAAATGAGATCATGATTTATTTACATACCTCAAAAAGAAAAAGCTGTCAACAGAGAAAAAAGCATTGGCTACTGCTTGGAAACTAAACCGATTCAAAAGACGAGGAAATGCCACACCCAAATTGCCTGAAATTAATCAACAGCAGCACATGCTATTAAGTTACTGGCAGACTGTTTGGTATTTGTTTCTTGAAAGAAAAAAAAAACGTACTGCAGTTTCAGTAATCACCAATGTTTTAGATTCCTAATTCTCAATCATTTGGAATGAGTGGAGAAGAATTACTGTCCAAAGACACTCCAAGCACAGGACTTGATGATGCCCTAATGTATGACTGGTGTGGAGTGAAAGAATCAGAAGGATGGGCTTAGAAAATGGCTGTCAATTGGGATGAGTGAAGATGAATCACTAATAAAAGCTGGTGGACCCATAACATTTAAAATTAAATTTGTACTTGGGTCAAAAGAGCCCACAAAACCAAACCTTGTCCCAACTTCCATAGCTTAAACCGACTAAGAAAGCTACTACTCCTTCTACTGTACCAGGTTGCTAAACATCTTGCCAAGTGACACTACAAGTTTCTCAGTAGCCTCCAGCTTACACAGAGGCAATGACAGAGTTGTTCTGCTCAAGGGTAACAAAGATACAGTGAAACCTCGATATAACGAAGGGCCAAGGGACTGGCAAAATGTGTTCGCTACAACGAGGTTTCGTTGTATCGAGGTTTTCCATATATTTTACTACTAATGAGGTTGAGAAAATCGTTCGTTATATCGAGAACTTCGTAATATAGAGGTTCGTTAAATCGAGGTTCTACCGTATCTGGGTTATTGGCCAAGTGTGAGGTCAAGATGACTGGATATTGGCCAAGTTCTTTTTTTGCGTGTTTATGGATCGAGATGGAGTCGAGGCCAATAAACATGCGTGCAAAAAAAGAATGAGGCCAATATCAAGCCATCTTGACCGAACAAGCTCGGTCAATAAAGGATTTATTGTATGGCTTTTGAGGAAATTTTTCTTGCGGGACACAGCGGGTACCATAATTTCTGGCAGATTACCCGCGGGTAATGCGTTACTTTTTCAGTAAACTACCATTGCTGCGGGTAATAGGGTGGTGCGGGTTATCTGATAATTTTTTAATCTTCCTGTAAGTATTTAACAGTAATTATTATAGTACTGACAGAAGATAAAACAAAGATAAGAGTCATTAAATATATGCTTGCCACAAACCTGTGTAATGCCTCATTTGTTTAAACGAGAAACACTTCCTATCAACTCTTGTATCGTGCTTTATTTGCTATAAAATTCTTTTAAACGTTGATTGATTATAGCTGATGCAAGTTGGATGAAATCATACAAAAAAAA